TGCTGATGTCAACAGGTAACACATCATTACCACAACCATCCATCCCTTTTTAGTGCTGATGTCAACAGGTAACACATCATTACCACAACCATCCATCCCTTTTTAGTGCTGATGTCAACAGGTAACACATCATTACCACAACCATCCATCCAGTTTTTAGTGCTGATGTCAACAGGTAACACATCATTATCACAACCATCCATCTAGTTTTTAGTGCTGATGTCAACAGGTAACACATCATTACCACAACTGTGCATCTAGTTTTTAGTGCTGATGTCAAAAGGTAACATCATTATCACAACCATCCATCTTGTTTTTAGTGCTGATGATTCCATTTATGTCTCCTTGGAACCACTGTAATTATAACTTTGGGAAGCATTTGGGTTTAGGAAACAAGGACTTCCAGCAGAAACTCTTAGATAAATGTTGTTGAGAGAGGCGGAACTAGATTCGATCTTTATGTGGAAAGGATTGCACAAGATAGAGCTGAATGGAGGACTTGTCTGTGAGCCCTGTATGACGTACAGTTTCATAATGTGATGATGATGATAATTAATTGTAACTTGATTACTATGAACAAGTCTGAACTCTTTCAGTCCTAAGGAACACATCATATGGTCATAGGTTCCTGCCTAGAAGCCCAGTGAACATAAGGTGCACCCATTTTACTTTTACTTCTCTTCACCCCCCCCCCCCCCCCCCCCCCCCCAACAAGATCAAACTCCCAGTGTGAACAAGCAACCAGAACGTTTGGCCTCAGTTTACAGCTATTAAACACTTAGAAGAAGAAGAAGAATGAGGATGATGATGATAATAATAATACTACTCTTCAAACCAGAAGGTCACAGCCTAATAGATTCAAGAACAGTGACAAAATGGAGGAGTCTGACAGGGTTAAAGATGCACACATGGTGTTATAACATATTGGGTGCTGTTTCCTATCTTGGTCAAGAGACACAGCAAGTGTTAATGGTTATCATGGAAGTGACACTTCTTATCATGGAAGTGACACCTCTTATCATGGAAGTGACACCTCTTATCATGGAAGTGACACCTCTTATCATGGAAGTGACACCTCTTATCATGGAAGTGACACCTCTTATCATGGAAGTGACACCTCTTATCATGGAAGTGACACCTCTTATCATGGAAGTGACACCTCTGTATCATGGAAGTGACACCTCTTATCATGGAAGTGACACCTCTTATCATGGAAGTGACACCTCTTATCATGGAAGTGACACCTCTTATCATGGAAGTGACACCTCTTATCATGGAAGTGACACTGGTTATCTTGGAAGTCTTCTTCTTCTTCTTTGCGTTCGGTTTCGCATGTTCAGATCAGACCATCAGGCGGGTTGCCTTTATGAACTCGCATGTCAGCTGCAGGTCCTTCATGGTTCCCCATAGCTTGCTCTGCACACTTTGCTCTTGAGGCCAGGTGTCTTTTCGAAGTTGCAGGTAGGGTGGGCAGGTCTGCAAAATGTGCTTAGGTGTTTGGGGTCCTGTTTGACAGGCACACTGTGGGGACTGTACAATCTTTATTTTATGAATGTGGTAGTTGAGCCTGCAGTGTCCTGTTCGTAGACGGAAAATTGTTGTATGTGGCTTTCTGTTGAGTCTGCTGATGGGGTCTTGTGGATGTTGACTGTTAGTTTGTTCTCTCCACAATTCCTTGTATTTTCCTTTGATAAGTGTTCTGATTTCTGGTAATGACAATGAATGGGTGGGTTGTTTCTCCTTTGTTCCATTTTTTGCAAATCTTAGAAGTGACACTGGTTATCGTGGAAGTGACACTGGTTATCATGGTTGTGACACCAATTATCATGGTTGTTATCCCGGTTATCATGGTTATGCCACCGGTTATCATGGTTGTGAAACTGGTTGTCATGAAAGTGACACCGGCTGTCATGGAAGTGACACTGATTATCATGGCAGTGACACTGGTTATCATAGACGTGACACTGGTTATCATGGACGTGACACTGGTTATCATGGACGTGACACTGATTATCATGGACGTGACACTGGTTATCATGGACGTGACACTGGTTATCATGGACGTGACACTGGTTATCATGGACGTGACACTGGTTATCATGGAAGTGACACTGATTATCATGGCAGTGACACTGGTTATCATGGACGTGACACTGGTTATCATGGAAGTGACACTGATTATCATGGACGTGACACTGGTTATCATGGACGTGACACTGGTTATCATGGACGTGACACTGGTTATCATGGACGTGACACTGGTTATCATGGAAGTGACACTGGTTATCAGGGAACTGACACTGGTTATCATGGAAGTGACACTAGTTATCATGGACGTGACACTGGTTATCATGGATGTGGCACTGGTTATCATGGAAGTGACACTGGTTATCATGGATGTGGCACTGGTTATCATGGAAGTGACACTGGTTATCATGGAAGTGACACTGGTTATCATGGAAGTGACACTGGTTATCATGGACGTGACACTGGTTATCATGGATGTGGCACTGGTTATCATGGAAGTGACACTGGTTATCAGGGAACTGACACCGGTTATCAGGGAAGTGACACCAGTTGTCATGGAAGTGACACTGGCTATCATGAAAGTGGCACTGGTTATCATGGAAGTGACATCGGTTGTCATGGAAGTGACACTGGTTATCATGAAAGTGGCACTGGTTATCATGGAAGTGACACCAGTTATCATGGAAGTGGCACTAGTTATCATGTAAGTGACACCAGTTATCATGGATGTGGCACTGGTTATCATGGAAGTGACACCGGTTATCATTGACATGGCACTGGTTATCATGGTCATAACACTGGTTACCTTGTCCATTCATAGTCATCTGCCAAACAGTTTTGACAAATGTTACTCCATGTCATGATGTCAGACTGCAGCATCTTTTTCACATTGTTCTTTGCCTTTAACTTTGCTATCATCTCATGTGTTCAGTTGACTGAGATAGTGCTGAAATATTTCTGTTGCAGCTACGGTGACAGCATTGAGTCAGTTCGACACATGACTAGAAACCTCATCAAATCCGGCGACCTAGACATGGCTAAAGCTTTAGAGCAACAGATAGCAGATATTGAAAATCAGTTTCAGAAAGTACATGAAACTTGCAACAGACAAACAAGTTCCCTGAAAGAGACCCATGATAAGCTGGGCACTTTCCAGGAGAAGCTTCAAGCCACCCAGAAGTGGTTCCAGTCCAACATCAGCCAACTGCAGTCCAGTGAGACCAACAGCCTCCCCGTTGATGAGGTCAGGGATCAAGTCACCAGCATTGATGTGGAGAGGAGGAGGAAGGAAGCGGACATAGCTGAGCTGAAGAAGCTAGCTAAGGAGCTACAGGAAGATTCTGGTGCTGGGAGCTCAGCGTCGCTCAACAAAGCCATTGCTGAATTGGAAAACGCTGCTGCCCAGTTGGATGCTGCTGTAGAGGAGAGACAGGCCAAGACTGCCCAAAGAGAAAAGCAAGGGGAAGAGTTTGAGTTGGCCATGACAGTGATGTTGCTGTGGTTGGCACAGATGGAAGCTAGGATGGATGAGTTCGAACCTGCTGCAGTTACTGCAGACATTGTAGAGAAACAGATCCTTGAGCTGCAGGTGGGAAACACTTTATTACTTTCTTTCTTTGTAATTTTTTTTTTAAGGGGTCTCTTTTGCAAAGTGGTCAAGACATTTGCCTCGCGCTTTGAAGGTCATGGGTTTGTTTTACTGCTGCTCCATTCAGTTCACAAGGGCCATTTTTACAGAGATTCCTGGGAATTGTTGCTGGAGCTATGGTGTGTGTGCTTTGTACAACGCTCTCAACAGGCGGCTAGCCATTCTGCAGAACGAACGAACGAACGAACAAACTTTATTTTCAAAGGGTTAAGAATTGGGCACGCAGGCCCGTCTAACATTCTGCCCTTCCACTCCGCTCCTTTCATACAATGCTTCATTTTAATGAAGTCTATCCTTTCGACTTTAATCTTTAACCTTTCTTTTCCTTTCTCTTTAATCTATCCGTGTGTATATGTTTAGGTTTAGGTTTAAATGACAGATCATCAACATCATGGCACACGTGTGTAACCCATAAGTGCTTTGTTCTACTTCTAATTCAAGCCTGAGTCTGAAGAATCTCAGCACAGTGCACGAACTCCGTAGCACCAGTGAGAATTCTGAAATAACAAATTTCGCCCGGGTAGTGCCATTAGGCTACTCTTTTCGATTTCCAACTGCCAATGGATTCTTTACGTGCGCAACAATACAAATGGCAGAGACCAGGGGAAATCACTAGAAGTCCTCGTGAACAAAATCCTAACCTTCACCCTGGCCAGAACCTGGGACCTCCAGCACTCAAGGAGGACGCCATGCCTGGAGAATACTCAGCCCTACATGTGTGTTGGTTTCTGTTTTGTTTTATGACTGATTGGGTGGCTGTCTGTCTGTCTCTTGTATTATGTAACAAATAGTCATTTCCTTCTTGATAAGAACAACAGTATTCATGAGTAGTAAGTTGAGTTTAATTGAGTTCAGAACTGACATCATAGTAATCAGGACATTGCCATAAACACTCCACCCCCATCTTCAGCAGCCAGTAAAGAGTCCTTTTGCTAACTCTACAAGTGGCAGTTTGATTATATGTCTGTCTTACCTTTCCTCTGAGTGTAGAGTGTTGACCAGATCCCTAGTCAGTCCCAGTCTAATAATTCTTTCCAAACCATAATTAAATGTTTCCTCTTCCGCATTTTTCACTTGCCTCAAAAGGGCTTGTATACCCTGGAGAGATGGTTCTAAGGACGCTAACTACTAGGGACCTCTGAAGGGATGCTTGCCACTGCATGGAGCATGCTTTTTTCCACCTTTCTCACATACTTTGTGAGTTTGTTAAAATCTCACAAATGTGTAGCAGTTTCTCAAGCCATCGCAAAGCTGTTTTGGTGCCCCATCTTCTGTTCTCCGACTAGATGTGGTATCATTAGTATGCATAAGATGTCTGTCTCACTCTAGCTTCTTCTTCTTCTTTGCGGTCACCAACTGTAAACTCTGACGGAAAGTTCTGGTAGTTCATCCACTTCTGGACTGCAGTCCTGTTCCAAAACCTAAGTGTTGTGTGTGAATCCATTTTGCAGATCTGACTCATTTGTGTGCAGACTGCTGGTTCCTTGCCTCTCAGGCAGATGCACTCCGACTTTGAAGGAAGCTTCCAATTAGTCGACTCTTACAACATGCTTTTTGGGGAGGCAGTGGGTCTATTCTGGTTTTCACTATAATAGGGCCCCGGAACCCACACAGTTCAGAACATTGTTAAAGATCATGATCACCTAGCATATGTGGAAGGCAGATGAACTCTTCCATATTATTGTTTTTTTTTTTATGATCTTGTTTTTTGGTCAGAATCTATAGATATAAGTAAATGAATGATCCCAGGATGTATAGACAACATTGAATTGATGCTTGTCAGAATCTCTGAGTGACATGTATTATGACTGTTTCCACCCAGCCCATGCTGAAGGAATATGAGGACCACGCTGGCAAGGTAGACCAGGTGAATGATATCGGCAATGCTCTGGAAGCTCTCACAAGTTCAGGAGACCAACCTCTCAGTCCTATCAGACATCTGGGCCGTAAGTTATCACCTTTTTGTTATAAACTTTGTTGGTGTTTCAGGCAGGTTTTTTTTTTTTAAAGTATGAACATGATTTCCTTAATGAGTGATGTATTCTAGTAAAAGATATGTTCAAGACAAAGATTCTGTTTTGACACAACTTTCTGTGTATAATTAGGCTTTGATGACACTGTTCAGGCTAAGGCTCAGAGACTGAAAGCTACCTGACCATGGCTTAGAGATTGAAAGCTATCTGACCATGGCTTAGAGACTGAAAGCTACCTGACCATGGCTTAGAGACTGAAAGCTACCTGACCATAGCTCAGAGATTGAAAGCTATCTGACCATGGCTCAGAGACTGAAAGCTACCTGACCATGGCTCAGAGATTGAATGTTACATGACCATGGCTTAGAGACTGAAAGCTACCTGACCATGGCTTAGAGACTGAAAGCTACCTGACCATGGCTTAGAGACTGAAAGCTACCTGACCATGGCTTAGAGACTGAAAGCTACCTGACCAAGGCTTAGAGACTGAAAGCTACCTGACCATGGCTTAGAGACTGAAAGCTATCTGACCATGGCTCAGAGACTGAAAGCTATCTGACCATGGCTCAGAGACTGAATGCTACCTGACCATGGCTCAGAGACTGAATGCTGCCTGACCATGGCTCAGAGACTGAATGCTACCTGACCATGGCTCAGAGACTGAATGCTGCCTGACCATGGCTCAGAGACTGAATGCTGCCTGACCATGGCTCAGAGAGTGAACGCTACCTGACCATGGCTCAGAGATTGAATGCTACCTGACCATGGCTCAGAGATTGAATGCTACCTGACCATGGCTCAGAGACTGAACGCTACCTGACCATGGCTCAGAGAGTGAACGCTACCTGACAATGGCTCAGAGATTGAATGCTACCTGACCATGGCTCAGAGATTGAATGCTACCTGACCATGGCTCAGAGATTGAATGCTACATGAACAAGGCTGAGAGATTGAAAGCTACATGAACAAGGCTGAGAGATTGAAAGCTACATGAACAAGGCTGAGCGATTGAAAGCTACCTGACCAAGGGTCAGAGAGTGAGGCTACCTGGCCATGGCTGAGAGATTAAAAGCTACATGAACAAGGCTGAGAGATTGAAAGCTACATGAACAAGGCTGAGAGGTTGAAAGCTACATGAACAAGGCTGAGAGATTGAAAGCTACATGAACAAGGCTGAGAGATTGAAAGCTACATGAACAAGGCTGAGAGATTGAAAGCTACATGAACAAGGCTGAGCGATTGAAAGCTACATGAACAAGGCTGAGAGATTGAAAGCTACATGAACAAGGCTGAGAGATTGAAAGCTACATGAACAAGGCTGAGAGATTGAAAGCTACATGAACAAGGCTGAGCGATTGAAAGCTACATGAACAAAGCTGAGAGATTGAAAGGTACATGAACAAAGCTGAGAGATTGAAAGGTACATGAACAAGGCTGAGAGATTGAAAGCTACATGAACAAGGCTGAGCGATTGAAAGGTACATGAACAAGGCTGAGTGATTGAAAGCTACATGAACAAGGCTGAGAGATTGAAAGCTACATGAACAAGGCTGAGAGATTGAAAGCTACATGAACAAGGCTGAGAGATTGAAAGCTACCCGACCAAGACTGAGATTAAAGTGCTACAACAGAGGGATTCTGAATACTTAACATTTATTAACAACTGTTATCCTTATTGCACTGAATCAGGTTGAGAGCCCAACATTGTTGATCAATGTATGATCCCTGATTTGTTTCATATTAAATGATTACATGCTTTGACATGTTCAGCTTGGAAAGGGTTGCGGTAATTGTACTTGGCTTTGCACTTCACATTTTTACTTTTGCATTTTCTTTTCAACAACAAACAAAACAAAAATTGTTAATGTCTTGTGTTATAGCAACATTGTATGTTGACAGTACTCAGTCAGTAATATGCTGTTAGTTTACTTCCTATTTCATTTGTTTCTTTTGCTTTTCATTATTGCATTTTGTTTTTAATAATTTATTTTGTGTATCTGTTGTGAAGGTGATGCTCTGTCCCCACTTTTTAAAGCTTGGCTCTGGAGAAAATTATAAGGAAATTGAAACAAGAGTGTACTATTGGAGAAACTACAGGAATAATTGGTTATGCAGATGACATTGATATTATTGGAGAAAATGAACTGAAGACAGTAAAAACACTGTCTTGGAGGAAGCAGCTCACAAAATGGGACTAGTTGTCAATCAAGATAAGACAGAATACAAGATCAAGACAGGGAAAGAATGTAAACTCCGGCCACATACAACTCGATAATATGAAAATCAAACGAACAGAAACATATGTACTTGGGTACAAACTTAAACTGCTTCAACATGCTGCTAAAAGAGATGAAGCCTTATTACAGATGTTTGAAAACTGAGTCTTATGATGAATCTTTGGACCTATCAAAGATGCAAACAGCAGAAATGGACAGTGAGAAGCAACAACAAAATTCATATTCTGTTTAAATCACCATTGATGATTGGCATCACATCACGAGGGCTAAAAGACTGGAGTGGCTAGGACATCATATTGAGAGAATTTCATATCAGAGAAGTAAAAACTGTGTACACAAGGGAGTTGAATGGTTACAGCCATGAGGCAGACCAAGAAGACAATGGAGAGATAATATCCAGAGAGACCTGCAAACACTTGATGACACCAACTGGAAAGAGAAGGCCAATCACAGAGATGAATGGAGGCGGGTGATATCTGCATCAATAAACCTCAAGGGCTTGGAATGCTGAAGAAGAAGAAGTATCTATTGTGTGCTTCTTTATTACACTATAATATTTAATTAATTTTTGTGTTTTGTGATTATTGCTTCAACTGAAGTATAAGAAATCAGAAAAGTTAAAAAAAAAAAATGTTTTAATCAGAAAAGTTAAAATGATGTTTTAAACAATAATAATCAGCACTTTATAACTTCATTCTCTGTATTTTTTTTTAATCAGACTGTGTTTTTTATTTATTATGGGGGGGGGGGGGGGGGGGGGGGCAAAATTTTTAAGCTGTTCATAGTCAGTATTCATTTTGTGTTTCACCATTTATATTATCTGTGTAAATTTTTTTTTTCTCTGTTATTTTTAATTTTTTTATGTATATTTAATTTAAACTCACATTTTTCTTAGAATGCACCGTCACTTTTATTGTGTTCTCTGAATGCTCACTCACATTATTATTTTATATATATTTTTAAAAATAATTTTTAAGTATGCCCAACTTCTCCATTTGATGTGACACGATCTGTTTCCCTCCACTTTGTGTTTGCACCGTCTGTAGGCACTCGCAATATCTCAGGACTGGCTTCCCCTGTTCATCAACGAACCCCCTCCCCTACATATCCCCTCTCTCCTGCAGCCATGAAGACATCCATGTCCAGCGAGTCTAGTGGAATCAGCAGCAGGAAAAGCTCCTCAGATCACCTACTCCTGGACGGTGAGTCCTCTCTCAGCTTGTCTATGAGTCATGTTGTGCTGTTGTTGCGATGGTTAGGTGAGTCCTCTCTCAGCTTGTCTATGAGTCATGTTGTGCTGTTGTTGCGATGGTTACGGTGAGTCCTCTCTCAGCTTGTCTATGAGTCATGTTGTGCTGTTGTTGCGATGGTTACGGTGAGTCCTCTCTCAGCTTGTCTATGAGTCATGTTGTGCTGTTGTTGCGATGGTTACGGTGAGTCCTCTCTCAGCTTGTCTATAAGTCATGTTGTGCTGTTGTTGCGATGGTTACGGTGAGTCCTCTCTCAGCTTGTCTATAAGTCATGTTGTACTGTTGTTGATGGTTACATGAAAATGCTGAGCATGTGCTCCAACACTGTTAACTGTATGCTGACAATAGAGACGCAATCTGGCCTGTTCCAATCACAATAGAGACCAAGCTGTATGGTACACAAGAAGATATGGACTGCATGATAGCTTTCATAAAGGTTACCGGCCTCCTGATATAAGTTTTCTGACAGAAGGATCGAAGAAAAAGTAATAATGAATAAATACGTCATAATTTGAGCCGGTGTGGTAATCGAACACCTGTGTAACTGAGTGTATTGATGCATATCTGCCTATATGAATGGGAGCTGATGTCTCCAGTTTTTCCTTGGTGATGCTTTTGCCCCCCTGAGTTTGAGAACAGCTATATTGTTGCTGAGTGTTTTACAGTATGCTGTCAGGAATAGTCAGTAAACAGATCAGTGTATGAGCTGATGTGTTAGTGGAGCTCTCCACATGTGTAAGGTTGAGTATGTGGATGTCTGTGAGTGCATGTAAAGTAAGAGTACCCTTTTCTATACCTGTATGTGTGAATTGGGCATATAGGGCTAGATCTTTATTATATACACCAGTTGGCATTCGGTGGGGAAATGTGGTCAACATCACGCTGGGCGCATTTACTTCAAAGAAGTTCCAATATAATGAACAAAAAATGTTCTGTATGAACGGTAAGTTACCCAGCTCCAGTATAATGAACACAAATGTTGTGTTTACAGTAAGTTACCCAGCTCCAGTATAATGAACACAAATGTTCTGTTTACAGTAAGTTACCCAGCTCCAGTATAATGAACACAAATGTTGTGTTTACAGTAAGTTACCCAGCTCCAGTATAATGAACACAAATGTTGTGTTTACAGTAAGTTACCCAGCTCCAGTATAATGAACACAAATGTTGTGTTTACAGTAAGTTACCCAGCTCCAGTATAATGAACACAAATGTTCTGTTTACAGTAAGTTACCCAGCTCCAGTATAATGAACAAAAATGTTGTGTTTACAGTAAGTTACCTCATATTTGTTACTGTTTTATTATTTAATAATACTTTTCATGAATCATGTATGCATGCATCCAGAGTTTGCCAGCTGTACTTGGACATATTCCAGCACTTATTCACATTCTGTTCTTTTTGTTTATATTTGATAAAATGATTATGTTTTGGGGGAAAGGTTTTTCTTCTGAGTTCTGTTTTTTCTTAACTCTTCTAGTCCCAAGGAACGCATAATACGTTCATAGGTTACTGCCTAGAAGCCCAATGAACGCATGATGCGCCAATTTTAGTCTCTTTTGACTACCCCTTGGGCCTGTCATGCTAAACCCTCCGGGACTCAAAGAGTTAAGGCTGGTGGCTTATTTCTGTGATTATTTTGTACAATTTGATCATCAGCTTATTTATTCAGTGACTAAGAAAGAGCACCAGAGATGCCACACATGGAACAGTGTCATACTATTGTGCAGAAGCATATCATCTGTCCCAGCTGGCCAGGACCACTTCAGGAAAATTCAGATGATTGTCGTGATATGGTTCACCATGTGGGTTCTGAGGTCAATTTTTTGTAGAAAGGGAGTGGTGGAAGGGGTATGGGGGAGGAGGGGGGGGGTGTGTCTAAGCGCGCCCCCCCCCCCCCCCCCCCCCCCCCCACAGGCATGCTGTAAAAGACAGCTAATTAGAAATTCGCTGAAATCTGTTCGTTTTATTATACTGAAAGGCACAGATATCACAGCCCATCTGTAAACCACACAATCTGCCAAGTGTCCTTTAAATACGAATGAAGAAGTAGAAGACAAAGAAGAAGAATGATGATGATGTGATGGAGATTCTTTGAGCTTTACCCATCAAATATGGCAGTATTCAATTATTGTATTCTTCTTTCGTTCAAATTATCTATATCTGCAATGTTGTCTCTAGTATTGAGATTAGATCTATTCACAGATAAAGGTATATTTCCTATATTGTTTGTGCCTGGCATCTTGATTTCACGGTGTGCCTCCTGGCTGGTAGCCTCTGACTTCAGCACCTAATTTTGATTACTCTGGTAAGCTCGATAGATGTACTGGCATAATTGAGACGTCCGGTGTGCCTCCTGGCTGGTTGCTTCTGACTTCAGCACCTAATTTCAATTACTCTGGTAAGCTCGATAGATGTACTGGCATAATTGAGACGTCCGGTGTGCCTCCTGGCTGGTTGCTTCTGACTTCAGCACCTAATTTTGATTACTCTGGTAAGCTCGATAGATGTACTGGCATAATTGAGACGTCCGGTGTGCCTCCTGGCTGGTTGCTTCTGACTTCAGCACCTAATTTCGATTACTCTGGTAAGCTCGATAGATGTACTGGCATAATTGAGACGTCCGGTGTGCCTCCTGGCTGGTAGCTTCTGACTTCAGCACCTAATTTTGATTACTCTGGTAAGCTCGATAGATGTACTGGCATAATTGAGACGTCCGGTGTGCCTCCTGGCTGGTAGCTTCTGACTTCAGCACCTAATTTTGATTACTCTGGTAAGCTCGATAGATGTACTGGCATAATTGAGACGTCCGGTGTGCCTCCTGGCTGGTAGCCTCTGACTTCAGCACCTAATTTTGATTACTCTGGTAAGCTCGATAGATGTACTGGCATAATTGAGACGTCCGGTGTGCCTCCTGGCTGGTAGCTTCTGACTCAGCACCTAATTTTGATTACTCTGGTAAGCTCGATAGATGTACTGGCATTTGAGACGTCCGGTGTGCCTCTGGCTGGTAGCTTCTGACTTCAGATAATTTTGATTACTCTGGTAAGCTCGATAGATGTACTGGCATAATTGAGACGTCCGGTGTGCCTCCTGGCTGGTAGCCTCTGACTTCAGCACCTAATTTTGATTACTCTGGTAAGCTCGATAGATGTACTGGCATAATTGAAACGTCCGGTGTGCCTCCTGGCTGGTAGCTTCTGACTTCAGCACCTAATTTCGATTACTCTGGTAAGCTCGATAGATGTACTGGCATAATTGAGACGTCCGGTGTGCCTCCTGGCTGGTAGCTTCTGACTTCAGCACCTAATTTTGATTACTCTGGTAAGCTCGATAGATGTACTGGCATAATTGAAACGTCCGGTGCGCAGATTATCCAGATTATTGTAGACTTTGGTAGACTGAGCATAGGGTAGTGGCCTGCAGTAGCAACCCTGTGAGACAAGGTTTGAGTCTTCACATTCACTGTTCTGATCATGTTCCCTGCTGGAAATAGACGCAAAATATGTTTGACAAATGAAAAACTAGATTAGTTACAGATGGTTTGGTTTTTGGTTTTTGAGTTGCTCTCACCGCACATAGATATCACCATATGGTCTTTAGTCTCTTCCTAGAGATTGCATTGTAATAGTGGGCTTTAGTCTCTTCCTAGAGATTGGTCTCTTCTAGAGATCATGAAAAGAATCCGCCAAAATTAAAATTAGAAGGGGTCACCAAACTTTTTCTTCCCCCAACGTATACACACAAAATGACAAGAGACAAATATTATGGCTAGAAAATCTCTGCGAGCATTTAACATCAAAGTGGACAGTTAAATGACTGCATCAGCATGATTTTATCTGGCAACCCTATTGGTCACTTCCGCTGAAATGTTCTAGTAATGCTACTGTTGTTTCAGATTTGTCACTTACCCAGCAACAATTGCTGGATGTCAACCAACGCTATGAGATCATCGGAGAGAGGCTGGCTGACCGTCAGCACGAGCTTCAGAGTATACTGTCCCACACCAGCACATTCTTGCAGGATATGCAAGGCATCATGGCCTGGCTGGAGGTCAAAGAACAAGAACTAAGTAAATCTGGGGCTCTGGGAATTCCAGCCAATGAAAAATCTGTGAGGGCAGAGTTGATGGATCACGAGGTTTGTTTACTTTGATATGTTTTTGAAATCTGTATCCTCTTGATTCTCTGTTAACACATTAGGCTTTCACCAATGATCTCCATTGCTACACATAAGGCTTTCACCAATGATCTCCATTGCTACACATAAGGCTTTCACCAATGATCTCCATTGCTACAAATAAGGCTTTCACCAATGATCTCCATTGCTACACATAAGGCATTCACCAATGATCTCCATTGCTACACATAAGGCATTCACCAATGATCTCCATTGCTACACATAAGGCATTCACCAATGATCTCCATTGCTACACATAAGGCTTTCACCAATGATCTCCATTGCTACACATAAGGCATTCACCAATGATCTCCATTGCTACACATAAGGCTTTCACCAATGATCTCCATTGCTACACATAAGGCATTCACCAATGATCTCCATTGCTACACATAAGGCAATCACCAATGATCTCCATTGCTACACATAAGGCATTCACCAATGATCTCCATTGCTACACATAAGGCAATCACTAATGATCTCCATTGCTACTGATCTTTTCTTCCTGTATGTTATTTTGCATTCCTTCATTCCTTTTCTACTATCTGTTTCCAGGTTTCTTAAGTCATCCAGTCTCCTTTTTCCGCCTGCCATCCATCAAAGAGCTGTCCTTGCCAGTGTGTCGCAACGCATTCTGCAGACATGACCAAGTCATCTCCATCTTCCTCCTTTGATAACGTTTGCCAGTGATAAACATATTGTTTTCCTTTTCAGTTCTTCATTTGTGATCTTATCTAGCCAAACAATTTTTAGGATTCTCCTTGGATATTTATTTTACAAAGTGTCTACTTTATGTGTAATTCTAGCTGTTATTTTCCAACGCACACATTTTTTTGTATACTAATATGGTAATTTAAAGCAACAACACTTTTGAATATAAGCGAGAGCAATTCGATTGTGGGTTCTCAACAGCATTCTGAAGTAGAAAGGCAAATGTGGCTCCAAAACCTGGCCTTTACCGCCTGTTGGTAAATTAGGACGGGGTGGGTGGGTCGTGAGACTGAAGATTTTTAAGTTGCTAGTACAGTCTTCACGAACTATGAAGATAAGGATGTTTATTGGGAGTAAACCTCTGGGTTTGAATCTTGAGGGGCGTAAACTGTTGTATTTACGTTTTCAGGAATTCCATCAAGAGCTGCTCAGCAAGGAGAGTCTGGTCGAGGAAACCCGCAAGAGGGCACTGGACCTTCTCAAGTCCAAGCCTGGTGCTCCAGGCCTGAATTCACTACAGTCTCAACTGACACACCTGGGTAATTCCTACTAGATCTTAATGTTTATATTTCTGCAGTAACCCAATCTCCACAGCATGTTTCCCGTGACTCTTTGTCACAGCTGTGGCCGACGCTCAACTCTCAAGGAAAAGGCGAGACAGTTATACAATCAGACAATTACTGGTACCATCGGAATTGGAACTCTTCGTTTGCTGCTGAAGATGGGGAAGGAGCGCTTATGGGAGTGTCCCAAGTGCTGTGATGTTGATTCTTAATTCAACATTCAACAGCATTGACTCCTTGTGTGGCCTCTTCTGCCTTTCAGTAGTAATGAGCCATAAACCAATGAATGCCAAGCCCTAACTTGTTATTTATTGTTTGGATTTAGCAGCCACTTTTTTCTCTGAAGTGAAGAAGCCAGTTTCATGTTAGCCTTTCTCTGTTGCCTCTTACTAATTGTGTGGGAGGTTACAGTGTTGGTATTACTTTTTGCTCAACCCCTCTGAGAATCTGTTACTTTTTTACCCCTGCAAAGGAAGGCAAAATGAACATATATCTCTTTGCTGACTGCTGAAGATGGGGGTGGAGTGCATATGGCAGTGTCTTGAGTGCTGTGATGTCCAGTTTTGACTCAGTTCACATTAACTCCTGGTTACATAAAGGCTTATGCTTAGGATACATTGGATGTCTGAGCAGTTAGGATTAGCATTACATTCTGAACACAGAAATTATGCTCATCTCTGGGAAGAAAGAAATATCTTTCGTTCTGCTGCCTACCTGCTGATTTGAATGCATGGTGTGACACTGTGAGCTGCAGATTTCATGTGCAATGCTTTTCAGCTGTCCCTGATGTGGTTTGTGTAGTGAACTGCAGGGTTTGTATTGTGAACAGGGGATTCAGAAAATGGGAGGTGGCCTGTCGTGAGAGAACTTGTGGTGCCTTGTGCGATTAATTGTGTGTGTACAACTACTGATCTGTTGTGACTGCTGCTTCCATTGATGATAAACTGTATTTCTAGTGCCAGTCTGTGTAGGCACATCTTACGGCTGTCTAATGCATTTAACATGTATGTTTGTAATTGCTTTCCTTAGACAGCAGTGTATCTGTTTTTTTCACATGGAATGGTAACGGACATTTTTTGTGGTTGTGGTTTCGTTGCAACAGGAACGGAGCAACTATGGGGTGACTTGTTGTTTATGAAGCTGGAAAATTGATTACGTGATTACAGTGTAATATCTAAGTAAATAGGAAACATTTGAGACAGGTAACAATTAAATAATTTTGGAGTATTCCCAACACCTGATGTGTGATGTCTTTTGGAGATGAAAATAGGTATTACATGCATGGTCAATCAGTGTACATCATTCTGCAGATGAAAAATGGCATGAGCTCAGGGCAGTGTCTGAGGAGCGGCGCAAGGGTCTTGAAGATGCTGTCAGTGATTTGAGAGACTTTAGGGAGCACGAAGAGCAGCTCATCAAGTGGTTTGGGCAGAAAGAGAAGCTGATGAATGTCTTGGGCCCTGTAGCTATGGAGCAGTCCTTGTTGAGGAGTCAGATGGAGCAAGTACAGGTTGGTTTGAGTTGGTCTTCTTCTTCTTCATTCTGGTGGAAAATTGTAGTTGTGCGTCCACTTCTGCACTTCTGTCCTGTTCCAGAACTTTAGTGATGCGTGCACATCATCTTTACAGATCTGGCTTATTTGTATGCAGAGTGTTGGTTCCTCACTTTTCAGGCAGATGCAGTACGACTTCAAAGGAAACCCCCAGTTAGTTTTCTCTTATGACATGCTTGTTTGGAAAACAGTGGGTCTGTTCTTGTTTTCCCCATAATGGGGCCCTGGAACCCACACGGGGAGTTTGAGCTAGTCTAATCTTGTCTGTTCCCTGTCAAACCAGTGAAAGAACTGTTTTGTTCCATGTACTGGTTCAGACATTGCCTTGAGTCTTGTTGAAGAGTTGTATCTAATGTTCTAGTGTTAGGTGTATTGTGGTGGCTATTGTGAACTTGTGGCATTGTAAAGTATTAATGCTGTTGATCCATCTACTCCTTGATATTCCTCAAGCTGTGTAACCCATTCTTCTACATTGTAGGCATACAAAGGATATTCAGAATAAATGATTGGGGTTGTAAGGATATTGAAAAGGCATCATCATCATCATCATCATCATCATCATCATCATCATCATCATCATCATCATCATCATCATCATCATCATCATCATCATCATCATCATCATCTAATGCCTTGCAGCCTGGCTTGGGTGATCATGTCTCTCCAAATTCAACAGAATGTATCATGTGCTGACACCCTTCCCTGCCATGACAAAAGGCTGTCAAGAGTTGTCTCACGTTGTCTTCATCTGTCTCTTTTTTCCAGAGATTTTTTCCGGTGGTTACAAAAAATATCATCATTATCCTTTGCACTCACTCTTTTCGAATTCATCCCATTTTATGTTCATGATCTTTCTCAGAATTGTTTTTCTTCAAAAATGTAATATTTAGTATTTAATGGAGATGAGGCATGCCTGCTTTGCTCATGCAGGTGTTGAAGGAAGAGTTCTCAGCCCAGGAACCTGTGTATGAGCAGTTTCTTAACTCTGGGCATGCAATCTTTGAGTGGTGTGATGCCAACACTTCCGACAGTGCTGCAGTCAGTAAACACATGGACAATATTACCAAGTCCTGGAATAAGCTCCAAGGTTAGTCACTAACCATTTCGTCTTCTTCCTTCTCCTCTTCTTCCTCTTTTCCTCTTCTTCCTTCTCCTCTTCTTCTTTCTTTTTTTGTCTTCTTCCTTCTCCTCCTCTTGTTCTTCTTCTTCTTCTTCCTCCTTCTTTTCTTCTTCTATTTCTTCTTCTCTTCTTCTTCCCCTCCTATTCCTTCTTTTTCTTCCTTCTCTTCTTCTTTCTTCTCCTCTTTTTCTTTTCTTCTTTCTCCTCCTCCTGCTCTTTCTCCTCCTCCATCTTCTCCTCTTCTTCCTTTTTTCCTCTTCTTCCTTCTCCTCTTCTTCTTTCTTTTTTTGTCTTCTTCCTTCTCCCCCTCTTGTTCTTCTTGTTCTTCGTGTTCTTCTTGTTCTTCTTGTTCTTCTTCTTCTTCTTCTTCTTCTTCTTCTTCCTGTGCTGCTTCCTCCTCATCCTAAGCATGAGTGTCTGTGTTCCACTGGTGGAAAATGGACAGAAGAACTGGTGAAGCAAATTGGCGTCTAGGACCATATCTCAAGGATGTCGCCTCAATGGCATCAGCATGTCATCCTTGATATTTTACAGTCAGTGCAAAATACTGAAACATCCTATTTACATCATCATCCTTCACAAAAGTCAACTCTCAGCCTCACAAACAGTCAACACAGAGGCTGGAGATACAGGTAAGCTGTTGTTTCTTGTCTCCTCCTTCACAAAAGTCAACAAAGTTTAGCTTGCTACTAGCAGTGAGGCTACCAGCAACAGCATTTTCTGCTGCCATTCTCCATCCTCATCATTATCAAGTGCCTCACTGACTGACATCAGAAATCATGCTTCATTACTTAGTGTCTGTTGTCTTGTATCTGTGTGTTGATTTTTGTTATGTCTGAGAGTAAGATTTATTGGAAAATAAGTCAGTTGGATATGGGTTAAAAATATAAGTCTTAAATAAATAAATGGAGGAAGAGTTAAATTGAGAACCAACTTCACAACATTCTGGGCATTTCCATAAGTTCTCCATCGCCATCTTATTCCGCAGCGTTGCACATTTCATCGTAGCAGCAGCTGCTCTGATTCTATGATTGAGGGCAGTATTAGTGGTATAGGTGACAAAGTTGGAGAGGACAAGGAGTGCACTTTGCTACTCAGTTATGTCGGTACAACAATCTGTACTCTTTCAGGAGTTCAAGAACTGAAGATGACAGAACACCAAGTTTATTTCAGCTTATCATCATCCATCATCATCCTTATCCTGACGGCATCACCTGCCGAGTGCCGATTTGGTCTATCAAATATAGGTCCAGCTCTATAATCCAGTACCCCTAAAGTTGGAGACAAGGTTACTTCACATTATTTGTTTCTGCTGTGTTTATCAGTAATCAATGACATTCATGCTTTCCTGATTGTATGACAGGATCTTCAGAAAGAACTGCAAGAGAGGTTTCCTGAAGTGACAAGAGCTAAAGACCTGTGCCAACAACTCTGTGACAGCACCAAAGATGCATCTACAAAAGCTGACCTGAGAGCAAAGATGGCAGCCCTGGACAAAGATGTCAGCGACACTGTCAAGAAACTAGGTAACATTGGTGACATCTGTGAAAATTACCTCTTGATTTTACATTGATCACATGCATATTATTCATCATCATCATCATCATCAACAACAACCTCTGACCAGTAAACCAGAGTTGTGTAAAGAAACCACTTGCAGTCCTGAACCTGATGAGTAGCACTGAGTGTTATTGTTATAAATCTTCATTGTCAACATTACAACATAAAGCAACTCCAGTCAGCACAGAAAAACATCTCATACAAAAACATATTCATTCCAACCCTTTGCTACCAGTGCCAGTCATGGTCACTCACAACAAACCAAAAAAGAAAATTTTTAACCATGGAAATGAGATGTCTGAGAGGGGCTGCAGAAGTGACCAGAAGAAATAAAATCAGGAATGAGGTCAGAGGAATTCTAAATTACATACAAAGAACAGCAAATTAAATAGTTTGCCCACTTGAAGAGAATGCCATACCATACATGGCATACACAAGAAGAGAAGATGGATGAAGAGCACGAGGTAGACCACAAACAATATAGAAAGATAACATCACCAAAACTCTACAACAGCATGATGTCTCCAGAGTCTAGACAGCCTGAAGGGCTAGAAACAGAACTGTATACAACTTCAACACCAAAGTGGTAAAAGAGGAAGTGAAGAAGAATGCCCCAAGTCCACATCCTCTTTATACATTTTCTTACTCTCATTGTTTTCAGTCCTACATGTGTGCCATCATTGTGATTATATTTGTTTATTTGATCTCAAGTAAATATAGATTACAAAACTTATAAGTTCTGATAGACTGTTTTATATACTAGAAGACAAGAAAGCGATAATACACTGCACACTAGACAAGTTTAACATTGCCCTGCAACTGCTAAGAAAAAATGAGTCATAAACCCGTGGGAATTCCTGGAAAAAGCCCTTATTATAAAAACCATATTACACAGTTTACCAATAATTTGTTTAACACCAAAAAAATATATATATAAATATGTAAAGAGGTAATGAATAAACACGAACAAAGTGAAGCATTAAAAGGTCATTCCCCAGGTCAAAAACAACATTTTATTGGGTGACTCCTGCCATGACCCTGTGACCTTTATCACTGAGACTTATGGGAAAATTTAACATCAACTTAGCTTTTAAAAAAAAAAAAAAATGTTGGTAATAAGGAAACCGCTCTATTCTTATCCTAGCCTATTAAACACAGTGAAGACACATGTAAAACTAGTGGAATTTAGCTATGCTTTTTTGTGTGTGTTGAGAACAGGTCACTATAGAAGTGGCCATATATCGGCATTTATGGAGCTGTGTCACAGCTGGAAATGACTGTATTGTCTTCTTAGGGCGACAGAATAAGGACACACCAAATTTGAAATATCCCTTCTCTTATTCTTGGTGCAAGTTTAGATAAGAACCAGTGTTGTAAAACTAAGTTTTTAATATCTGTGTTTGCTCATATTTGAAGAACTAACCAGTTAAGCACTTTGTTTTTTCCCCCTTTTAAACCTCATCTGTTTAGTCGAGGAAAGATATGAACGAAAAGTATATCAGCAATCTTCACAATATAACAAACACAAACAAAACGTGAATGTTGCGGATATGGAGCCTTCATCAGCACAAACATAAATCAAATGATACCACACAAATACACACAATCACTAAGCTTAGTATCTCGAAGCAGCCAGGTAGATGTCTTGCCAGTAGACTGACGAGACAAATGGGACAAGAGAATAAGTACTCTCAGGAAATGCCAGGGGTAATATAACTGGAGGGTTATAGATAAAACAGTGAGCAGTTAAGTCCCCTAGGATTTTAGATGAAACTGTTGGCAATTCAGTCCTCTAGGTGTTAACATGCCCAGAGTGAAAATAAAGCGATTTTCAAGACTTGCGGACTCTGTAACTGGAGTGGCTAGATTTAATGGCTGTCACCTCCATGTCATGGACACCTTGGTGATCCTGTGAGTTGAAGTGCAATGATACTGGTTTAAGGCACCATTCTGCACCATCCTGTCAGCCATTCATAGATCTTGTTAGTCAAGAAATCTCACAGATATGTGTTTTTATTGTTTCTTGTTTAGAAGCACGGGCTGGAGCTCTGGAAGATGCTTCTAAAGCTGGGGAAGAGTTCACGGCCAAATGTCAGCAAATGCTAAAGTGGATAAAGACAACATCCTCCATTGTGATGGATGCAGCTGCACTCACCTGTGACACAGATCTTCTGCAGAAGCAGACTTTAGAGAATAAGGTAACTTTCTTATTTCTGTTTAATTGTCAGTTATAATCTCTCCAGACTAGTTCCTGTAGTTGTCCAACGTCTTCCCCAGGAGAAGTTGAAGAATGTCTGAGCTGATTTTATTTGTAGATGATTTTAGTGCCCACATGCAATTTTCGGCTCCCAGTGTTATTGAGAAACAGGAGGTCTAGAGATCCTGGGTGATAGCCTCCATTGGATATCTCTACATGGCTTGCAGGTGTATTGGGAAATGTACATAGAGACAGATTGGCTGTCACCGCACCACTGGGTGGTGACGATGCATGAGACTTAACACTTTCAAAGTCCTTTCAGAGCATAGATCAGTGCAGAAGTGCAAATAGTCATTTATGGTCTACAGAGAATAGTGCAGCAGGAAGTGACCAGGGGATCTGGTTTGACACTCTTATACACTGAGAGGAAAGACAAGATGGGCATATAATTCTGCTATTGGTACGATCAAAGTAAGAACGTTGCTGGCTGCTGAAGATGAGGATGGAGTACTTGTGAGAATGCTTAGTTGCTGGGATGTCAGTTCTTGACACATGTTTGGTATAAAGAGTTTTTCTGAAAAATAATCTAGAAGAAGCACACACACACACACACACATGCATACATATTTACTCATACCTACATGCATATTGCAACGTCCGTGCTAAGGCGTTGCGAGTCCGACTCGTAAGCCAGCATGCCGCGATTGAAACCCACTGCAGGCAGCTGGATTTTTTGTCAAACGTCGCAGGTTGACCCAGCCTAAAATGGGTACCAGGATGGGGCTTGTCCTGGGAAAGTTGTTTGACCACATTACCCACAGAGTGCTGATGGTCTGTAAAAATATGGGACGCTCTGCCCATATGCCCGATGCGCCGAAAGGCGTGAAAAGGGATCTTTACTATCCTTTACTTACATGCATATTGTTGTTCAAAAGGTATATACGTATAGTCCCTGTGAAAGTCATACACTTGTGATCTTGTTGGAATTTTGTTATGTAGGACAATATCTGTTAGCTGTTGTCTTATGGGTCTCACATACTTTTATATGTGTTGTTTGACCCAGTGATTGGCCTTGGGTGGGTGGTTGATTGGGACATTGAAACAGTTATTAAACTTCTGCATTCGTTGATTCTTTGTTCACAACCTGCCACTTCACTAGCAGATATTCCTGTGTAAGTTCCAGGGCTCTATTGTGAGGAAAACAAGAACAGACCCACTGCCTGCCTAACAAGCATGTCATATGAGTCATCCTTTAAAGTCAGAGTGCATCTGTCTATGATGCAAGGAACCAACAGTCTGCATACAAATAAGCCAGGTCTGAAAACACAGATTGTGGAACAAGACTAAAGTCTGGAAGTGGACGAACAACCATAACTTTCTGCCAGTTTACGGCTGGTGAGACCATGGCACACCCCCCCCCCCCACCCCCCAATCAAGTAGCTGCAAATATAGAAGCTGCTGCCTTGTGTATGTGTTTCTGATTGATTCCACAGGCCCTGAGACAAGATCTGAGTGTGAAAGAAGATGACATTCACCATCTTCTGGAGAAGGGCAACAAATTTATCCGGGATGCTTCACCAACTGCAGAGAATAAAGCAGTCAAAGAAGCATTGACCCTTCTACAGAATGAGTGGACAGTGCTCAAAGGCGAAGTGGACAAGAGAAAAGATAACATTGAAGCTGCATCTGCAAACGCGGTCGTCTTCCAGCAGAATTTGGATAAAATATCCTGGTGGCTGGGGGCTGCAGAGGAGAAGCTAAAGAAAGTGACACCGGAGAGTTTGGATAAGCCAGCCATTATAGTGAAGCTGAAGGAGCTGAGAGTAAGTAGCTTTGTGATGTTCCTTGTATTCTGATTCCTTTTGTATTCTAGACTTCCAGCCAAAATGGAGGGAAGTCTTGGCAGAATATTTAGCTTCCAAGTTAATTTTCATCCGACAACGCTTTGCTAACGTAGTTTCCACATAAGAATGGTAGTCTACAGTTTGGCTGCCTGAGCTACTGTTCAGTGCTTGGTTGCAGCACTGTGAGCTGTGTCCTTTCATTTGTGCAGCGGTTGTGTCCTGGTATTCAACATGGCCAGTAGTCGGTTTACATGTAAGCTGGTAAAATACCTTAAGTAATAATTCTACGTGTGTATAGTAACCAACTTATAGTGTCCGACTACTTCCATCAATGACAGACTACATTTCTGGTTCCTCTCTTCTCAGCCCCAGACACCCATACTGTTGGTTCCTCTCTTCTAAGCCCCAGACATCCATACTGTTGGTTCCTCTCTTCTAAGCCCCATGACATCCATACTGTTGGTTCCTCTCTTCTAAGCCCCAGACATCCATACTGTTGGTTCCTCTCTTCTAAGCCCCAGACACCCATACTGTTGGTTCCTCTTTTCTAAGCCCCAGACATCCATACTGTTGGTTCCTCTCTTCTAAGCCCCAGACATCCATACTGTTGGTTCCTCTCTTCTAAGCCCCATGACATCCATACTGTTGGTTCCTCTCTTCTAAGCCCCAGACATCCATACTGTTGGTTCCTCTCTTCTAAGCCCCAGACACCCATACTGTTGGTTCCACTTTTCTAAGCCCCAGACATCCATACTGTTGGTTCCTCTCTTCTAAGCCCCAGACATCCATACTGTTGGTTCCTCTCTTCTAAGCCCCAGACATCCATACTGTTGGTTCCTCTCTTCTAAGCCCCAGACATCCATACTGTTGGTTCCTCTCTTCTAAGCCCCAGACATCCATACTGTTGGTTCCTCTCTTCTAAGCCCCAGACATCCATACTGTTGGTTCCTCTCTTCGCCCCAGACACCCATACTGTTTGGTTTCCTCTCTTCAAAGCCCCAGACATCCATACTGTTGGTTCCTCTCTTCTAAGCCCCAGACATCCATACTGTTGGTTCCTCTCTTCTAAGCCCCAGACATCCATACTGTTGGTTCCTCTCTTCTAAGCCCCAGACATCCATACTGTTGGTTCCTCTCTTCTAAGCCCCAGACATCCATAAACCATCCGATTGTTTTCTCTCTTCAGCCCCAGACATCCATACTGTTGGTTCCTCTCTTCTAAGCCCCTCCATATTGGTTCCTCTCTTCTAAGCCCCAGACATCCATACTGTTGGTTCCTCTCTTCTAAGCCCCAGACATCCATACTGTTGGTTCCTCTCTTCTTAGCCCCAGACATCCATATCCTCTCTTCTAAGCCCCAGACATCCATATTTGAGAAGCCCCAGACATCCATACTGTTGGTTCCTCTCTTCTTAGCCCCAGACATCCATACTGTTGACTTTGGCGCCTCCAACAATTAAAATGTGCATTTACGGCGTCCGCATATTTCTGGATTGTTCCGGCAGGTTGTTCGCTCACCAGTTTTTCAAATGCAACAGTTAAGGACATTTCATTTGATTTTCACTGGCACAGGAACGGAGCAAGTATGGGGAACCCGATTGCAGTGAAGCCGAAACCTGAATTAAGACTAAGACCTTGTATTCATCCTCTGTAATTTGAGAATGATAATTTTTTTTTTTTCAGGGATTAAAAATACTGCTTTAGCTCCTGCCTACCTTCTTATTTTTGTCTTCTTCTTTTTCTTCTTCTTCTGTTTTTTCTTCTTGTTCTTCTCCTCCTCTTCCTCCTCCTCCTTCTCCTGCTTCTTCTTCTGCTTCAGGTACCTTGTATGAAGGTATGGAGTAGACATTGATGATCTTCCAGGAATTGAACCTTTTCCGCTGTCTGGGCAGACAGACTTATTAACCACTCTGCCACCAGAGCTCATAAATGGACATAATCATCATCAGTCATCAGGTCCTTTACAGAACATCGGTCTCTTCACTGCAGACCTGAATGTCTGTCTTTACCAAGCCAATTGACCAGCCCTATGTGCCTTCATAGTCAATGAATCTTCCGTGTTTTGTATCCACATTAACGGAGTTCTGGTTCTTCCTCATTTCTCAGACATTGTACCCTCCATCCTCATTGTCTGCAGGCCACCATAGTTCATAAGTCGGGATATACTGCTGTCACTATAAGTACTACACACGCATCACTAGGAGTTGATATGAACTTATATTGATGGTTTCAGAATCTGCAAAATGACCTTCTGAGGAAGTCACATGATCATGATGTCTTCAACAAGACTGCAGCCTCACTTCTAGAGTCGGTTGAGGACCCCAGGCATGAGCTGCAGAGTCAGGTGGCTGAGGTCAACAGGCGCTGGGACTCGGTGACTTTGGGTGAGTTGCAGTTATTAGACCTGTGATACTGATTATAAGATTTGATCTTAATATGTGTATGGTTACATTGCCATTACTCCTGTCCTGTTGTATTTTAACATGTGTTACAGTGTCTGTTTCTGATGGGAGGTTGTCTAGAAAGACTAGGAGAAGGCTCTTTGATCGGACAGATTGATTGATTGGTTGATTGTCTGACTAACCTTGACTGCAGGTTAACTGATTGATTGTCCCACTGACATTACTGATTAATTATGTGATTGATGAAGATAAAAGTGGATTCATTGTCCAACTGACTGTTTGATAATCTGACTGATTAGTTGTATATCTTATGGTTCAATGACTTGTGGATTGATTGGTCGCTTGATTGACATCAACTTCCTGATGTGTGTGTTCCAGAGCCCCATAATGGGAGGGAAAGAATAGACCCACTGCCTTCCCAGTAAGCATATTGTAGGAGTCGACTAATTGGGGGCTTTCTTCAAAGTCGGAGTGCATCTGTCTGAACGGCAAGGAACAACCAGCTGCACACAAATAAGCTAGTAAAACTGATGTTACCGCAAAAATCAGGCCCTGACACGAAGCCAAAACTTTTTGCTGAGACTTACAACTGGTGAACAAAGAAGAAGAAAAAGACATCAGCTGCCCAGAAACAACATCTTAAATTGTTGAAGTACACACCGTGTACGTGCAAGGTCTGCTCAAACCCTTAGTTAAAGGCGACTACATGTTGTTTCTCCGTCTGGGAAATGTCGGCTAGGGGTATTTTTTTTTTTCGGGATGGGTCCTAATCTCTCATTAAAATGATTTTGCACCAGCTATACATAGCTAAAAGCGTCCGCGGAACGAACCCCGATTTAAAACATTGTCCTAGGCCGGACGTCCTCTGGTTTTTCTGTGTACATCATGATTGAAATAAGCGCCTTATTGCAAGGTTGGCTTAGGCCTTAAACATTACCAGACATGTAGATGCTAGTTATAATTGAATTCTGTCCAGTTTTCTTTGTATATATAAATTTCTTTCCTAGGTAATGCTAATCGATTTACGTGACCTTTTTTTCAGCAAAAATGTGAGCTGTGTCCTGAGAAAAATTGGTCTGCCATCTTGTATCATGTAAAGAAGAAACAGAAAGTGCGCATTTTGGTTGCGCATGAGAAAGTATTTGTTTTGAGACGCAAGTTTTCAACAGCTGTTTTTTAAAATCTCATCTCCACCAACCCTACATATCTCGCTGAATGAATACAAGCTAGGAATGAGGAAACCGTTGGAAGAGATTTGTTTACAGCTATCTAACTGTGCTGGTTTTATTGGTTTAGAGGGAATTTTAAAAATTTGACTAAAGTATCTACTACATGCATCTTGTACTGGTATTTTGTTTTATGTTTGAATCAGTCGATTTGAGTTGATTCAAGAACTGACATCACAGCACTCGGGGCCTTCACATAAACGCTCTGTCCCCCTCTTCAACAGCCAGCACAGAGTTCCAGTACCAGTGGTATCAGTAGCAGTCTGATTATATGTCCATATTGCCTTTTCTCTTAGCATCGAGTATCTGCCAGATCCCCTCGTCACTCCTGGCTGTATCACTCTTATCAGACTGTGATGATCCATTTGCTCTTCTGAATCGCACTCATGCTGCCATAAGACCTTGATCACGACTGCCTTATGCATGAATATTCCACTAAGTTGTTCAGAGCCAGCCAGTCTGTCCACCTCTTCATTTACTAAAACACGGGCATGCCAGGAGAAAAAAATCAACTCACCGGATCCTGCTTATAGCATCACTAAGTAGACACATGTGTCTAGTGATTCCAGCCCCATGAAAAGTAGTATCACCTCCATCTTCATATGGAGGTGGAGGCTGTTACTGCATCTTTCCGCTGCCTAGAGAACATCACACACACACACACGCACGCATGCACGCACGCACACACACACACACACACACATTGTGATTGTAACTCACTCAGAAAGCATGCTGAGGAAGATCAGGACAGGCATGCTTCGTGCAGAGTGGCATGCCTTGCTGCGGAAGACACGGGTGAGGAGTATTGTCTGGATTTTTTCACTAGGGCATGCCTGTGTGAGCCTGAATCATTCAACAATTATGTATGTTATGTATGTGTCCGTATCTCTTGCAAGGCATTAGTGTAACATCTGGTTTGCTCATAGACTGAATTACGGTATCTTAAATTTATGTTCGTCTAAAAAGTGTGTCCGTAACATGAACATTTTGGAAAGCTCTGGTCTACAGAATAGGATGATTGTATTATGTGTGGTACAGACTATAGACTAGATGGTTGCATGATCTGTCTACAGACTAAGATGATTGTATTATGTGTGGTACAGACTATAGACTAGATGGTTGCATGATCTGTCTACAGACTAAGATGATTGTATTATGTGTGGTACAGACTATAGACTAGATGGTTGCATGATCTGTCTACAGAATAGGATGATTGTATTATGTGTGGTACAGACTATAGACTAGATGGTTGCATGATCTGTCTACAGACTAAGATGATTGTATTATGTGTGGTACAGACTATAGACTAGATGGTTGCATGATCTGTCTACAGACTAAGATGATTGTATTATGTGTGGTACAGACTATAGACTAGATGGTTGCATGATCTGTCTACAGACAATACAAGATGACATCTCAGCACTTGTGCCACAGCTGCAGTACCTAGAGGCTCTAGTTGAAAGATTGAATGTCAGTGATGATCTTGACTCCACTCATATTCACAATGAGGTCAAAGGTCTTCAAACCAGGCATGACCAGCTGCAGAATGATCTACGAGAGCTTTTATCCAATATGGAAACTGGATCTTCAATCATTGGACAGTTCCAAGTATGAGAAATTGTTTTTTATATCAGTAACAGTTAATTTGTGTGTCCTCAGCAGTTCTTCATCTTATTCTCCAGTTCTTCTTTTTAAAAAGAGACTATGATAAATGAAGTGAAAACTGGATGAGTGAAGAGCTGGAGAATAAAGGTTTTAACCTTTAACAATTATTTTCCAGCTTTTCTACCTCAATTTCAAATTCGAAATCTCATTCTCTAGATTTAGTTCCTTTCTCCACATTTTTACCCCATCTTCACAGTTCTTCATCCATTTCTCCAGTTCTTTACCTCATTCTCCAGTTTTCATCTCATTTTCCAATTTAAAATCCCCAATTCCAGTTCTTCATCTCATCCTTCACAGATCATCTCATCCTTCACAGTTCTTTAACTAATTTTCCACAGTTTCTACTCAGCACTACTCTGAGTCATAGTTAAACTGATAGTATTTGGATTTCTTCAAAGGATCAGTTGTTATGTATGTCTGCTATAATCATATCCATCTATTCATTTGGTTTCTCACAGTTATTATTGCTCATGTCCTCAGGCCAGGGAAACCATGAACATTCTCCTCACAGGTTTTAAAACCTCCATAGTCTAATCAGTGCTATACTTCTTCACCACTTGATTCTAGACTGGACTAACTTCTTTCTCTGGAGTCTGATCTTTCTCTTCTTCCTTCACTGACCATAAACTCTGGTGGAAAGTTCTAGTTCTAGTTGGTCCACTTCTGGAGTTTTGTCTGGTTCCAGAGCCTGAGTGTTGTATGCTCATATGTTTTACAGATGTAGTGTATTTGTATGCAGTCTGTTGGTTCCTCTACCTCTTATGTAGATGCACTCTGACTTCGAAGGAAAAACCCCTAATTAGTTTTCTTGGTGGTTTCTTAATATCCTTCCCCAAACAGAGGAAATCCACAGGTCACAGGACAGTCTAAGATTTCAGGGTGTAGAATTTAAGCTGCATGCAGTCGTGGGACCTAGGCTGCACTCTTTTGTAGGACGTAGGTGGGTTGGGGTTAGGGCCAGTTCTAGATGTTTTGGTTGGGGTGGTTTAAAGCATCAGAAAGCTGGGAAACCCAGTCTTACCACCTTTGAAAATGTTGGACTGCCTTGTGACGTCATCTGGGGTAGGATATTACGAAAGAACCGTTGTCTTGTGTGACCTGCTTGTTAAGGGGCTGTGGTCTATGTTGTCCCCCGCCCCCACCAAAGAAGCCCCAGAACTCACACATGGGAAAGTGAGTTCAGTGAGAGTATATTTTATACATGACTTCTTCTACATTTGCCATTTTAAGGGCGGTTGCTGCATTATGTTGTGGTTTACAGGTAGGCTGTGATAAGTGCCCTTTTTGCTCTAAAACATCTGATTTAAGCAAACACATAATTAATCGCCTTTTATTACGTGGTTATTTGGGAGCAGTGACTCTCTCCCCCTGGGCCCCTGGAATCCACATGAGGATGGTTGGCAAATGATTGGTGTTTAAATGACTACAGTAATGTGTGCATAAGGAAATTTGAGCTTTTGAACTGAAATGCTTCTACAATACCAAGGACTAAGAAGAAGAAAAATGTTGATATCCCGAATGACTTGAACATCAAGGAGAACTGGCTCATAAACAGCATCCTCTCCTGAAAGCTGAAATATTTTGGACATTGCAAGCGTTATGGTGGTCTGGAGACAACACTGATGTAGGAGGAAGTTCCCAGAAAACCAGGCAGAACACACAGGGCTGGAGTACTGTCTAGAGAAAGAGAGACTTTCAGGCAGGTCGTGAAGAGAGAGACTTTCAGGCAGGTCATGAAGAGAGAGACTTTCAGGCAGGTCGTGAAGAGAGAGACTTTCAGGCAGGTCATGAAGAGAGAGACTTTCAGGCAGACCGTGAAGAGAGAGGCTTTCAGGCAGGTCGTAAAGAGAGAAGCTTTCAGACAGGTTGTGAAGAGAGAGACTTTTAGGCAGGTCGTGAAGAGAGAGGCTTTCAGACAGGTTGTGAAGAGAGAGACTTTTCAGGCAGACCGTGAAGAGAGAGGCTTTCAGGCAGGTCGTGAAGAGAGAAGCTTTCAGACAGGTTGTGAAGAGAGAGACTTTTAGGCAGGTCGTGAAGAGAGAGGCTTTCAGACAGGTTGTGAAGAGAGAGACTTTTCAGGCAGGTCGTGAA